AGGAATGGGGCACAAAAATGAGGGTGGGGGGGTGGGGTTCACATTTCCCTTTATTCCAAAAATCCCTCGAAAGTGTACAAAAAAAAGCCCCCTAAAAACCCATCAATTAATTATTACTCATTAAAAAGCCCCAAAGGGTGCAAAAACAGCACGAATGGCATCAGCCCCCCCCCCCGGGGGGGCAATCAGAAAAGAGCCCGGGGGGGGGGAAGGGGGAGAAAAGCTCCAGTTTGGGGTAGAAATGGTGAATTTGGGGATAGAAAAGCTCAATTTTGGGGGAGAGCCCCGTTTTGAGGGGAAAAAATCCATTTTGGGGGGGGGGGAAGAATTATTTTGGGGGAAAAATGTTCAATTTTGGGAGAGAAAAGTTGTATTTGGGGTTAAAACGCCCCGTTTTGGGATAGAATGGGTGAATTCTGGGGGTGAAAAGCCCCATTTTGGGGGAAAATGCCCCATTTTGGGATAGAAGTGGTCAATTTTGGGGCAGAAAGGCTCAATTTTGGGGGAAAAAGTCCCATTTTTTGGGGAAAATGATTCATTTTGGGTTAGAAAAGCTCTGTTTGGTGGGGGAAATATCCATTTTTTGGGAGGAAAGCTCCATTTTGGGGGGAAAGAAGCTGGTTTGGTGTTGAAATACCAAATTTGGGGGTAAAAAAGCTCCGTTTGTGGGAAGAAAATTCAGATTTTGGGGGAAAAAAATCATTCATTGGGGGAAAAATGCTTTGTTTGCAGATAGAAATGCAAAATTTGGGGGTCAAAGTGGCCAATTTGGGGAATAATGGCTGTTTGGAGCAGAAAAGCTGAATTTTGGGGTAAAAAAAGTCCTTTTTGGGGGCTTTTGTGGGGAGAAAGGTGGTATTTTGGGGGAGAAAAAGTCATAATTTGGGGTGAAAAGTGGCATTTTGGGGAGAAGAGTCAAATTTTGGGGAGAAAGGTGGCATATTGAGGGAGAAAATGTCAAATTTTGGGGAGAAAACGTCATATTTGGGGGAGAAGAGTCAAATTTGGGGGAGAAAGTTCAAATTTGGCGAGAAAACATCATATTTTGGGGGGAGAAAATGTCATATTTTGGGGAGAAAGGTGGCATTTTGGGGGAGAAAATGTCATATTTTGGGGAGAAAAGTGGCATTTTGGGGAGAAGAGTCAAATTTTGGGGAGAAAGGTGGCATTTTGGGGGAGAAAATGTCAAATTTTGGGGAGAAAGGTGGCATTTTGGGGAGAAAGGTGGCATTTTGGGGGAGAAAATGTCATAATTTGGGGAGAAAAGTCGTAATTTTGGGAAGAAGAGTCAAATTTGGGGGAAAAAGGTCAAATTTGGTGAGAAAATGTCATATTTTGGAGGGAGAAAATGTCATATTTTGGGGAGAAAAGTGGCATTTTGGGGGAGAAAACGTCATAATTTGGGGAGAAAGGTGGCATTTGGGGGATAAGAGTCATATTTTGGGGAGAAAGGTGGCATTTTGGGGGGAGAAAATGTCATATTTTGAGGAGAAAAGTGGCATTTTGGGGAGAAGAGTCATATTTTGGGGTGAAAGGTGGCATTTTGGGGAGAAAGGTGGCATTTTGGGGGAGAAAATGTC